CACCTTGTTTGAAACCCCCGGTTCTCAGTGTCCACCTTCCGTTTTGCCATTTTTAATGGGTATCTGAAAGCTAATGTCACTGTTATGGGAACGACTGCTAGACTAATAAATATTTAAATAAAGCGACCGACTGCTTGGCACGTCACCGTTGCATTCTGGGAAATGTAGTATTGGTGCGTGTAAAGATCTACGGGCTCTTGGCTTGCTGCGGTCCGCGGGCCAGTTCTAATAATAAATCAATATCATCCCAGGGGCCACTGAAAACATTCTCGCGGGCCGGATTTGGCCCGCGGGCCGGCACTTTGACATATGTGGTTTAGAGTGTTCAATCAGCCTGCCATGCATGTTTTTGGAATGTGGGAGGAAAACGAAGTACCTGGAGAAAACCCACGCAGGCACGGGGAGAACATGCAAACGCCACACAGGAAGGCCGGAGCTGGAATCGACCTGGTACATCTCACCCATGACCTCTGCACTGTGAGGTCGACGCGCTAACTGCTCACCCACTGGGCCGCGATATCCATCCATTTTCCGATCCGCTTTGTCCTCACAAGAGTCGCGGGTTGGTGCTGGAGCCGATCTCAGCCGTCTTCGGGCAGTAGGCGGGGGGCACCCTGAACCGGTTGTCAGCCAATCACAAGGAATTTGCCTCCAGGTAGTATAGGCTACACTAGTGTTGCAATAACAAGCAACTACGATAAACAAAGACATGACATATACCGGTAAGTATTGAAATATTTTCTGTCATATAACACAGCATTATGTTACAATAAGAGCAGCCCAGTGGTCCAGTTGTTAGCGCGTCGACCTCACAGTGCAGAGGTACCGGGTTCAATTCCAGCTCCGGCCTCCCTGTGTGGAGTTTGCATGTTCTCTCCATGCCTGCATGGGTTTTCTCCGGGTACTCCGGTTTCCTCCCACATTCCAAAAACATGCATGGCAGGTTGATTTAACACTCTATAAATTGTCCCGAGGTGTGAGTGTGAGCGTGGATGGTTGTTGGTCTCTGTGTGCCCTGTGATTGGTCGGCAACCGGTTTAGGGTATGCCCCGCCTCCTGCCGAAGACGGCTGGGATCGGCTCCAGCATCCCCCACGACCCTTGTGAGGATAAAGCGGATCAGAAAATGGATGGATGGATGTTACAACGATGACAGCTGCGCGATAATGTGCAGAGTCATCGAGCAGAAATCAAGTTCAGTGGTGCAATACAATACTATGACGGTTGTGCAGTTGGTGCCGATAATCGTTGCATCATTTTTTAAGCAGAGATGAAAGTGGACTTTCCTGAAAATTCCGGAAAAAATAAAAAATTATCTATACTGTGTGTGTGTGCGCGCGTGTGTATGTGTGTCGGAATTGACCTGGATATCACTATTTTACACAAAACCTAAGGTCACAATATATATATATATATATATATATATATGTACATTATAGGTAAGATTGGGCCGCCCGACCCGAATTTCGGGTCAGGTCGGGCCTAAAAATGTCAATCATTGCTTCGGGTTTGGGTCGGGCTTCTCTGTCGCTGACTTTTTTTTTTTTCCGAGGCCGTGAATAGTTTTGGCCACGAGAGACCGTGGTTCACAAAAAACAGAAGCGGCGTCATCACAACACGTACTGTACTAAACTCTGCAATGACAATTCAAAAAACTCCTTCATATCTTTATGATCCAGCCGTCATTGTTCTTTTTGGTCTCGCTGCTTCTCTCTCTTCAAGTGCCGCACTCGATTCTTAAGGACGTACTGCTGCTGTGGTGAATGGCTCAATTTTCAACCCTCAAAATGACGGACGGCCGTAAATTTTCCCCGTCCACTCTTAAAAAAAATCCGTCAATGATGGAAAATTGTCCGCAAAAGTAACCTCTTCAGGAACAGAAATATAAAAGATGTAAATGTTTATACAGTCTTGTTTAACTTAGATTTCGTTCCAAAAGACAGACTTTGTTATCAGAAATCACCCCTCCTCCTCCCGAGTCCTCGCCAATAAAATATGAAATCTCGGGTTTGCTTCGGGCTCGGGCCTGCAAATCAAGTTAAGTGATCGGGCTCATGCACCCTTTGTGGCTTGCGTTCTCGCCGAAATTTTGAAATCTCAATTTTTTTTTTTTTTTGACATTATTGTGATGCTCACATGCATCTTACTTGTCTTAATCTCCAGCTTTAAATCCATTGAAAATGTCAATAGAGTATAAGAGAGTTCTCCGACTCAAGAATCTTGCAAAGGTTGTCTGTGTGGATTCTGATAGGCCTATGCTCTCAAGAACCGCATAGTTGCTTCTTGGCCATTTTCCCCTAGCCCGTATGGGGAAGCCATATACTTTGAAACTCTTAGCGCATAGCATGTGCATCACTTGTGTACCGAGATGGTTGTATTTACGCTCTTTTTCTTTGGCAGCTTCTTCCAGAGGGAAGTCTTCTGTTTTGTATCGGATCGTGACATCGATGAGTAGCAACTTAAGAGATATGGCGAGGCCATGAGAATGCGAGGCAAGGGTATTACTGTTGTGGCAAAGCCACTCAAGCTCGTCCGCTGCTCTCTACTGTGCGTGCGTCAGCGCGAACATGTACGCAAGCGCGTCTTTTGATTTCAACCAATAAGCGCCGACGCAAGACGTCACACACCTGACGTCACACACAACAACAGCTAAGCTAAGCTAGCCGAGACGACACTCGAAGTCGGACGGACACGTTTTTCTGCCAATCTGTGGGTTTCCCTTTTTGTCCGAATATATTTTTTACGACAACTGTCTTGTCCACGGTGTCTTTTATTCGTTCCACTGGGGTTTAGCAAATGTATTGATAAAGAGACGAAAATCTCTACTGTTACTAGTGTTAGTGTCTCAACATGGCTACGCTCATGAAAGCAAAACAACGAACTCAAACGCGTCTTCGTTCAATGTTGTCAACTAATATCCGGATTAATTTTAGGCAAATTTTCCTCAATTCTCTGGAGAGATTTTCATAAAAATGTGAAAAACCCGGAATTCCGGGAAAATCCGGAGGACTTTCATAAGTGACGAGTAGTACCACATACAAGTACAGTAGGAGAAAGTATCGTAATTGTAGTGCAAGTTTAGGTGTGCAATTCTACAGAAAGTCCTTGAGCACGATAAAATGTCTGGTGCTGTGGAATATTGATCGACGACAATTGTTAAAGTATGTATAGAGCTGGAGCTACAACGATCATTGCAGAAATATTGTTCCTCAAAGGTGTGCAAAAATTCAAAGTCACTATAGATTTGCGTCACTGTTTAGGAAGTAAATGGAGAGAGGGAAGAAACCGTTTGAATGTCTGCTGGTTTTGGTGAACATGGTTCGATTGCACCTACCTGAGGGGAGTAGCTGGAAGAGGTGGTGGCATGATGTGGGTGGTGTGTGTGGGTGTCCAGTAGGATTTCCTGTGGCCTTTTCTTGGTTCTTGCGTTGTGCAAGTCCTCGAGTGTGTATCAATGATTTCTTCTGCAGTCCTACCTATCCGTTGCAGTCGGATTTTTTTTTTTTTTTATATCATCATCATTCAAAACACTTAAAAATTACGCTGAGAGAAACTTTGGTGAGCACCTGCCTCACTTCTCACAAGTCTCTCCAGTGACCTACGCGTCAGGACTTGATAGTGACTTATGAATCAAGATCCAATAATTAACCAGCAGTGCTGATATCATCCAAATTCAGCATATGTATTTGTGACGCAAATATGTAATGGCCATAAGAGCATGCTCTGGGTGTCATAGGGTCTGCTACTACGTGCTTGACGTAATCTCATGACACGACTCGACAAACAAATTCATTGCCAACACTTGTGGATTTCTCTCAATTTCATCGATGCAATGTTGGAGCCGTAACGTAATGCAACTTGCATGAGAGCCAGCGTAAATATGAAGTAAAGTGAAATGAGGAGATTTGAAACGTTCCTTCTGTTTCCGAGTGAACACACTTTTAGAAAAGTGCAGTTACTTGTTCACATCTCTCATGTATGTGTTGTGGTGGTGTTATCATGGACTCATTAGACTTAACCATCAAAACAAGCTGATTTCAGTAGGTACTCCAAAAAGAGTGCAGTGCATTCCTTGATTCATGATGTCACTAATCTTAAATTATACCAGCATGCTTTTAAATAGTTAATGGATTATGTCTCCTCCAAGTGTACATGTGGACTGCAACAAGAAAGTGATTTCCAAGAGCTTGTGAAGCATTCAATATATGGACATTGTGATCTCTGATGTATTTATCATTAACATGGATGCTTGGCAAGAATAAGATTAGACCATTAAGGTTCAGGCAAAATTAATGTTTTATTCCAATACTGGGCAGGATGTTATTTTTGTCAACAACTGAAGGCCAAGTACATATTTTTCCCCCCGATTGGTAATCCTGAATTGAATGGCAAAAGTGTAGCGGTTTTTCTTTTTATTTCTCGGTTATCTGATACATAGCAATGTTCTTTTCAGGTTCATGTCACCAGTGAGAGCAAATTAATGCACTTGAGTTGAATGGAAAATGAAACATCATTTGGTGACAGTGAACTTCATGTATAGATTCACAACACAATAAGCAGTCTCGAGAAAATATAGTGAAAGTCTGTTGTCACAAGATATTTGTTCAAGGCTAGACACAGGATGCTCCACAAGTTATTTTCATGTCTGCCTAAACCAACAAGGGGATGCATTTGTGACTTAACTAGGCCTCGGACGTCCTCCTCCGAATCTCCTCGATGAGAGTGGCTCTGGAAATATCAACCTGTTGGAATCAAGTTAAACAAAAAGCACATGCGGTTTAGAGAGTAAACATTTTTCAGCCATTAACAACTAGAAACGCATGGTCGAAGACAACCACATTGTACACATGTATCAAGTCCTTCAATTCTTAAAAGGGCCTTTTCGGGCTAATTTCAGCTTGCCACAGTGAACTAATCCGCAGATATGATAAGCTATTACCTTTGGTACAATGGTGATGTAATTTCTTACGTAATCAATTATTTTGGTGGCTAGTTTTCTAATGTGGAAGCAAGACACCTGGCTCACTAAAACCCCGCCTCTCCAGGTGTGGCTGCCACTCCCCTTTCATATCATCACCCTAGAGCTCATTAAATTAAGCCATTGATTTGCAAAACTGTTCCGCAAAGAAAAAAACATGTCGAGCCTTACTGTATATTATCTGCGTGCTTTCCACCTCATCATTTCACTTTGTTTATTTTTTGTCTTATGTGTAGGCAGCTGCCCTTGGAGGTGATGGCTACCGGGGGCATCCTTCTCCCCATTCTACTAAGGAAATGTTTCAGGGAGTCACAATTCTTAAGGCTCTGAAGGTCTGTAAACAGTAAACTAGACATCACAGTTGTTATATTAAAAAAAAAAAATTGAAGCAAGAAGCATTTTTGGTACTTGAACTTTTTTACCCGGTGCCATGCAAAGGCAAGGTTGTCTTATTCTGATCTTTTATATTCTTGGCTGTCTTCAAGTGTTATAGTGTAAGGTAACAAAAACATTAACAGCACACAAAAAAAAAAAAAAAATGTCACTTTTGTCCCCCCTCTATGTATTTTGTTCCTCCTATAGCTGGCACAAGAAGGAAAGGTTTCACTGAAGGCTGTCCGTCTTTTCTTTGATGTCAGCGAGAAGGTGAAGAAGGTTTTGGAGTCATACTTTAGCTTGAGTTCCCCGCTCTACTTCTCCTATTCACATCTGGTGTGTCGATCCGCTATTGACGGTGAGTAAAATAGAGAATTTATCATCCATTTGTTTTTGCGTCCATATGTGCAGACTTGTATATGGGTGATGGTTCTTAGAAAGTATCATCCAAAATGTGACATGAGAGCCTAAAAATAAAATGTAGATCAAACCTTCCTGCAATGCGCTGAATAAATGTAGTTCACTCATCCCTTCATTGGCAAGAGTGGCTCTTTGCATTTTTGCACACCCGTGTGGAACAGTATTACCGCAGTGATCATTGTCGTTCCACTCTGTACATACTCAAACAATTGTCATTGATCAATATTCCACAGCACCAGACACTTTAAAACGCTTAAGGGCTTTCTGTATAATTGCACAACTAAAGTGGTACCACAATTACTGCTACTGGTCACTAAAAAAACATTGCAACGATTATCTGCACTAAATGCACAACCGTTAAAGTGATCAGTGGCGCAATAAAATACTATAGCTCTGCTTGGTGACTCTGCACATTGTCGCACAGCTGTCATTGGGTCATATTACTGCATAATTATACTCTTACATTACGGAAAATCGCCCGGCCAAACAAGGTCTGCGTCAGGTGCTGGGGGTGAAAAATGGTGACCTTGATGAAAAATGGGCTACTGGAACAAAGCGGAGATGGGTGAGATGCGATAACATGGCTCTGTTGGAATGCTACTACTCAAGCAACCCTAGTCAGAGGGGTTACATGCAGATAATGTGGGGAAAATGGTTACTTCGAAACCCACAGTCACGGTTGACCACGAAACAACTAGTAGCTCAGTGTTCCAACATCCACAAACGGCAACTGCTGTCACAACTTGAGATTGATGAGGTACAACGCAGGTTCCATGGTGAAGGGCCCCAGGCTGCCAGATCAGAGGAGGAGGTCATACCAGAGATTGGGAGGTAAGCCCCAATGAATGCAGATGATGAGATTGGGAGGCCAGCCCCAATGAATGAAATGCTGAGCGAGGCAGCAACTGACCTGAAAGCTAAGATCATGGCGAGAATGAAAGTTAGTCAACCTAGAAA